CATCTGTCCTGGAAAAAGTCAGGCCGGAGGGCTCCTTCGAGGCAAACTTAGCCAGACTTCCTCTTACATACTTGGGGCATCGTGTCAGGAGAGGCCAGTCCCTGGAGAAAGACATCCTGTTTGGTGGGGTGGAGGGGCGGTGAAAAGAGGCAGACCCTAGACAGGGTGGACTGACACAGTGGCTGCATGCGCGGCTCGGGCACAGGAACCATGGTGAGGGGGGCGCAGGTCTGGGCAGTGTTTCCTTCTGTCGTGCCCGGGGTCGCTGTGGATCGGAGCTGACCCGATGGCCCCGCAAAACAACAATAACCAAATGCACAAGGAACCTCAGTGGCACTGTGCATCAGGCACTGGCCTACCACCTCCAAGGTAAAGAAAGCTCTAGCACTCCAGCCACGCCTGGGGAGAAGGATGAGGCTGTCTGCTCTTCAAATACATGGTCGCAGAAACTCTCGAGAGGGTGTGGCTGGGAGCCGGAAGTGACTCTGTGGCAGGGAGTTTCGGGTGTAATAGTATATACACCCAAACAAACACACACAGCTGCTGAAGGCCAGCCGAGCCTGATGCGTGGGGACCTGAGTGTCACAGAGTAGGGGACGTCCTGAGCTGCAATCTGTCAGTGCAGGTCACCAGAGTGGCTTCCTGTCAATTAAGCAGCTGTACCCAAACCTTCCGTGCCGCTCAGGGACCTTGATATGCATATAGCACCCCTGCGTGTGCACACTCACACACACACACACCTCTGTATCCGTGCAGTGCACGTGTAGAAGCCCAGAGGGCATAGAGTCAGAAGCCCCTCTCCTTCCCTTCCTGTCCACGCCTGCTCTCCCTCCAGTCCTCTGTACTCCCCTGAGACTTTACTGTCTCTGTGTCCCTTCCTGCAAAGCCAATGCCCGAACAAGCACATATATTCTTATCCTTGATATGGGGAGAGGGGGATCTTCTATGCAAATAGTAACCCATTAGGCACCCAGTATCCACCCGGAGGGTCCTTTCCCAAGGCTGTGCTGACCCATCTCCGGCCAAGAAGCCTGTGGCCAAGGTCTCTCACAAACCAAACTATCCAGTCGATCCGGACTCATAGGGACCCTACAAGACAGGGAAGACCTGGCTCATGGGTTTCTGTGGCTGTAACTCTTCACGGGAGTAGAACGCCTCGTCTTTCTCCCCTGGAGCAGCTGGAGGTTTTGAACTGCTGACCATGCTGTTAGCAAGACAGCACATAACCACTGCTCCACCAGGGCTCCTGAGCCAAGCCTTAGCTCCTACAGCTGGGGCCACGCTGCCCCTGGCTGAACAGGTGAGCTGGTAGAGACGAATGGAGAGATCGCTGAGGGTGGGCATTTTCACATTGGCTCGCTGTTGCCCAATTGTTCTCTGACGCTACTATACAGAGCCATCCGTCATCCCACGAGGTTGGGTGTGAACATACTTATTTCTGCCCTGCCGGCCAGCTGCCAGGATCGTCCGCCTTTCAGATCCCCGCCCTTTGATGGGGCAAGAGAGGAAGACGCAGCCTTGCAGAGTCTAGGTGTCTTTGCTTGTCTTCTCGCCTCACGAGGCAGAGCGCCCTGCCTGGGCGTCAGGGCCGCCTGTAATCGCTGCCGCAAATGGTTCCCATCCTTTGCTTGGGCGTCTGTCAGCGTCTTCATCTTCTCCTTACTGGTTTGTGATGACCGTTTTGATATCGGGAAAATTAGCCCCTATGGTCACGATCAGAGCTGCAAATATTTGCCCTTGGTCATTTTTCCTTTATGAGGTTTTCGGTATTTTTTCCGGGAGGGACCCCTGCAGAATTTGTGTATCGCTGAACATCTCTGTCTTGTGGGGCCGCCTGGGTTTGTGTCTCGCCGAGAAGGGGCTTGGCGGGTCGGTTTGCTCTGCCATGATGCTGTGTTCTGAACCCGCTGCGACCCTTTTCCCTGCAGCTTTAAGAAGTCTGCTTCTTGCTACCCCGTCGAGCTGTAGCGTATACTTTGAGGTCAAGCAGGCAGAAGAGACTCAACTTCATCCCCTACCCCACCCAGCCCTCAAATGTTCCCCTAGCTGTTCAAACCCATTTGCTGAAGAACTGATCCTTCCCCCACCGAGTTCTGCTGTCACCGGATAGTCAATATTCCCACCTAGACTGGGGTCTGTTACTAGAAACGCGTCTGTCGGTTCGTACAAGAAGACACACTGTTTTACTTATTGCAGCTTTACACAACAGCTCAGCAGCTGGTGGTGCTGGCCTCCCCTCGATCCTGCTCTTTCCCAGAATGCCCAGGCCTCTTTTTCTTTCTCATTTGCGTGGGAACGTGAGACATCTTCGGTTGGGTTAAAAGAAGCATGTGTGCGTGCGTTCTCAAAGCCGAGGGAGCGCTGAGGAAAACGACCACTTTACAACACCCGTTCTTTCTGTTCGCAGCTTCCCCTCCACTCCGTCATCCCCAACCCCGGGCAGGAGGGTGGCTCACGGGGTTGCCGTGAACGGTTGGGCAGGCTGCGTATGGGACAACCCGAGGGTTGAGGCTGCTTCTCTCTAGATTAGCCTGCCATCTCCAGGGCTGATCAGTACCGTAACAGTGCCCCTCGCAGAGCGCGTGGCTGACCCCGGCCCCAGCACACTTAAGTTTGTGTTACCTGCGTTGGTGGTGCAAGAATTAGTTCTTCTACGCACACACACACACACACACACACACACACACACACACACATCCCCCACAGCTTCCCCCAGGCCTGTCTTTCCCCAGAGGGCCTTGCCTCCCACAGCACATCCTGTCTGTGGCCCTGGCATCCACGGCTCCCAGACCAGGCCAGCAACACTCCAGGAGGGCCTCCTGCACCAGACCCTGGTGTCAGACAGAGGGGCCTTTCTTCAAGGGAACAAGGGCTGGGGTGGAGGGGAAGCAGTTGTCTATCAGAGTAGAGCACCCCGCTTCCTCACAGCCTGAGAGGATAAGGTAAGATGAGGGTGCACTGGGCCCAGTGCCAGCACCTCCTTAGCCAGGGTCTCCCACCCTGTCGCCTTCCCCAAGTCATTAGCTCCGGCAGCCACTGGAATCGGCTCATCCACGCAGAAGGCGTTCGGCTCTGCCCGGCACCCTTGGGAGGGCTGGAGGAGGGAGCTGGCAGGTGCAGCCACATGCAGGTCTCTAGAGGGGCCGTGTCCGGGTGCAGAAAGAGTATGTGCATGTGTGTACTTATGTCTGTGTCGTGTCACCACATGCTTTCTCACACGTGTGTGGTTTAGTCTTTATGCAGACACGCACATATGCAGACATATGTGCACCTGTCTGCACATGTGTGTGCTTGTGTGTGCACTTGTGCGCTCGTGTGTGGTGAGCACGTGCGTGGAGGTGAGTATGCACGTGTGTACGTGTGTGCACGTGCAAGTGCGGGCGCATGCTCTGTGTTCATGCGTGTGTGCATGCGTGTGTTTATGTGAGTGCACAAGTTTGCACGTGCTTGTTCACCCATGTGTGTGTTCATGCATGTGAGTGTGCATGGGTGAGTGTGAGTGGGCATGCGTGCTAGGACCAGCACCCGCCCCCCTGCCTGCCTGGCGCCTGCCTCTGACTGCACAGGCTGTGAGTCAGCCCTCTGTCGGGAGATGGAGTCACGAGGGGGCTGGGATGTTATTGTTTCAAAACAAACGAGTGATGACAGGAACTAAAGGAGGGGGTTTAAAACCGAGACTCAAAGGACGCTGGAAGCTGCTGGAGAAGTGAGCGCTCCCGCTCGCCGAGCCTGAGCCTGCGGCCTCAGCACCTGCCAACAAAGCACGTCCTTGGCACACGGGTGCCTGCTGGCCCACCCGGCATGGGAAAGGGCCAGGACTGGGAGCGGGAGGGGGGCACCTGCTTGAAAGAGCTGCCTTTGCCAAACACCCTCAAGACAGGATGTGCATGTCACAGCAGTGAGGTACGACAGGGAGTCGGGCAGGCCATCGTGTAACACAGGTGGCGACGCCGGCGGCACGCGCTGGCTGTGCACCTACCTACACGCAGGCAGCCCCCTCCTGGATAGCGCCAGACACCCCTCTGGCAAGCCTTCCACAGTGAGGGTGGGTAGCAGGATTCTGGAAATCTTGAGACCTGGGACGTAGGGGTGCAAGGGGGGAGGTATTTGGAAAGCAGAAACCGTCGACCTGGCCCCAAGTGTCCATCAGCTTCTGTGAGCCCAGTGGGAGGCCTGGGTGCAGGCTGAGCCTGTCCAACGTCAGAGGGTGCACGGTACTGGCCAAATTCAAGAGTACGAGGACAGATGTGGGGATCCAGCTCCCTGGGTCTCCCTGACGCTCCTTGGGCCAGCCCAGGGACAGAAGAGGCCACTCTACCCCCCTCCTGCTGGCTGGCCAGCCTTCCACAGGTCTGGGGTCCTTCCCTCCTCCCCAGCCCCCCTCCCACTCCTTCCCTCTTCTTCCCTGGATCCACTGCTTTGCTTGGCAGTCTCCTTTAGTGTCAGCGTAAACCTCATGGGTCCCCACCCTCCACACCAGAGAGCCCGGCTGCTCACTGGAAGGTCAGAAGTTCAACAACACAGGCCAATGCCACTTTGCTCCGCACTGGGAAGCCTCAAAATGCATGGGGTATTTGCTTGTCTTGGCCATCTGGACCGGAACCCTCACGTTTCCCAGGACTTCCTGGGTCTTCCCGCTGGCCAAGATGTGGCAAGCATCTTTCCTTCATCTTACAACTGGAGGGAAAATTCCAGAAGCAAAGGACATGTTGGAAGGGGTGGGGGGATGAAGAGGATGAAGGGGCAAGGTGGGGCCGCCCGAGGCAGGTGGCCCTGGAGTAGCCCTTGGGGAGTGGACAGCAGGGTCCTGGGCATGGTGGTGGACTCTGACAGGGGGCTAGGGTGAAGCTGGAGAACAGGACCGTGGCTGGGCCCACCCTGCGGTCTCCGGTGCGTTACCTGTTACCTGGCTGGTACCTGGTAGAGGCTGGTAGGCGTTACACGAGCGAGCACAGCTAGGTAAGAGAGGACTAACCCGTGGTTCTTTCCTGTCCCTACAGATGATGTGTCCCCATATTTCAAGACGGAGCCTGTGCGCACACAGGTACACCTGGAGGGGAACCGGCTGGTGCTGACGTGCATGGCTGAAGGCAGCTGGCCGCTGGAGTTCAAGTGGCTACATGACAACAGGGAGCTGACCAAGTTCTCCCTGGAGTACAGGTAGGCTGCCCCCAGCCCCCGTGCAGGTCAGCTTAGGCCTTGGAGTGCAATTAGGCCACCCCTACCTCCTCCTGGGTGTCTGGGCTACGGACGCGTGGTTCGATGTGGTATCGGGACTGGCCAAAGTCTCCCACTTTAGAACAACCGGGGACCAAGAAGCCCTGGTGACTCAGGGGCTAAAACACTTGTCTGTGAAGCAAAGGGCTAGCAGTGGGCCCAGCAGCTGGACAAAGAGTCCATGACGGGGACAGTCTTGGACACCGATCGGACAGTTCTGTTCTGTCCCCAGGGTCTCTCTGCATCTGAGTCGAAGATCCTCTCCTGCTGAGCCCGGCGGAGGATGGCTGTGGGGTGGACAAGGGCCCTGTCCAGACAGGGCCCAGGATCCAGAGGCTTGCTGTCAGCCAGTGCCAGTGGCCCGGAGAAGGCCCCTGCTATCTCTAGTGGAAGAATGGGGTCCAGGGGAGCAGGAGGGTGTGCAACTACCTGGGCTCAGTCAGGAAGGGGCAATGTCTGTTTGGGGGGGAGGGTGCCGTTCAGGTGAGGCATAAGAGGTGGTCCCCTGCTCAGGGTACTGCCAGGCTGGGAGGGAGGAGAAGGGACAGGGAGAACGGGGTCTCAGTGCGGACAGGTCAGTGCTGGAAGGGTGAGGGTGCCTGGCCAGCCTCCAGCCACCCTCTTGGCTCCCTCCCCCTCCTTCCTTCTCTCCCTTATCCTCCCATCTCAGCCTTGTTTATTGGCTCCAGGCCCTGTGCTGGTGATTAATCCCAGCCTGATATACATAATCGGTTTTGTTGGGGAAACAAGATTGTCTTGCCCTGGGGATGGAGATGCAAATCTGTCGCCAGGGACAGAGCTGCAAGCCAGAGGAGGGGCTTTCTCCACTGGGGAATCTGTTCCTCCAGGAGAGCCGTCCCTTCTGTCTCAAGGCAGGGAGACCAGAGACCAAGGAGACCTCCATCCCCGGTTCCTTCTGCCCTGACCCCAGGCTGGTGTGAGGTGTGCTCACGTGCTGATGGGGAAGGGGGGGGGGGGCAGAGCAGGAGGACCAGCCATTGTTGCCCCCTGTGGATGAGGTGACACCTGAACCAGGAAGCAGGAGACCCCAGGGCTGGCCACTCTGGACCTCAGGTTGGCCAGGAGCAATCCCTCAAATCATTTTCATTTGGGAGCCCAGAGCCACCCCTGACCACGGCCTGCACCCCTGCAAGGTTTGGGCAGCCTCCCTTGCACCCCTCTTGGAGAACGCACGTGCTTGGGTGGGAGAACCGAGAGAGTGCAGGTGGTACACCACAGGTATAAGTGGTGCAAGTGGTGCTGGGCTTCCAGGCTGCCCTGGACTTCCATCAGCAGGGAGCCTGAGGCAGGACCCATGAGAAAGAGAGTCGGTGTTTGCTCTGGTCCAGAGCTGCTCCTATGTGGTCCTGGGAGAGCTAGGAGCCAAGGAGGGGAGTGCTACAGGGAAGTAGACCCCAGCTGAACAGAAAACCAGACCTGCCCAACTATGGGCCCTTTGCCTGTCCTTGCCATCTTTGAAAATCATCAGCCCTCTGCCCCTGGAGGGCCTCAAGGTAGAGGGTCCATCTACTGGTGGTACCATGAGAATAATCATCATTGACAGTGAGGAAGAATGTTATTCCAGGCCGGTGTGATGATACCCAGTCTGTGGTTGTCTCGTTGAATCCAGTGAGTAGGTGAGACTCATTTTACAGTGGAGGAGGAGGTAAATAACGCACCAAGGTCAGGCAGCTGCTCCGGGAGTTCTCGCCCTTGGCTGCTGCGGTGAGCATTGTACCCCCTTTGCTCCTACAACCTCAAGCAGGCAAAGCAGAGGCCCAAGTGCCGGTGCCTCCTTTCAGGTCCTTTCTGGGAAGCCAAGCCACGCTCACAGGCTGCCATTAGCGTAGCTCAACTCCTTGCTCTCATTCCGGGGAGACTCGTGTGCCGGGAGATGGCGGACGGGTCTAGGTTTCATTAGGGTTTCCCTGCCATCGCAACTGGCTGTGTCCCAGGTGCAGCTGGCGCTCCGTAGCACGGCCTTTTGAACACCCTGTGGTCTGCCCCAGGCAGCTCTGCCCTGACTCCTGCTGCCGCATCTGAGCTAGCTCCCACGCCCACCAAAGTGACCATCGAGGGCTCCAGGAAGGCTCCCTGTGTTTTCCTTCTTCTCTGCCTTGACCTTAACTGCCCTGCCTCATACACCTGGACTAGTGGCCCTTGCCGAACCTTCTCTCTCCTGGAAGGCCATTCAAATGGCTTCTCCTTCTGATAGGTTTTTCTGATGGTTGTGCAAATGTCTCTCTCTCACACACACCCCCATACACACACTTCTCCCTCTTCTGTGCCCTTTGTCTCTGTCCTGTTCCTATTGACCGAGGACACTGATTAGACCACAGAGCTGCCAGGCCCTCTTTGCTCTGGACCTTCTTGTCTCTGTCACTCCTGGGTGCTGATTTAATTCTCCAGTTCTGAGTGACCCTGCTCCCAGCCCCTTGGGGATTACTGAGTGGCATGACTTCAGAGTAGGAGGGACTTCCCTGGACGTTTCACTTAGAAAAGTCACAAGGAAGGATGCTGATTGGCCCACTTAGATCATCCTTGACCAATCCTCTTTAGGCATCTGAATGGAGTACTGCGATTGGCAGCACGGCAACTCTCTACTCCAAGACAGAGGGCACTGAACCCACCCAAAAGAGCCAGGTGGTCAGGAAGGAGGGCCAGAGCTGTTGGCAAAAGAAGAGGAAGAGGGAGGTGGGGCAGATAGAAACCACCCATGTCCAGTGCGCCTCCCAACTTCCCCAGAGGACCGACCAGAGCAGAGGCTCGATGCACGTGTCTGATCTCCTTCTTTCTGTATTTTGACAACGTTGAGGCTCAGATCTTAAAGGTTGCACCTGGAACACCTGGATGGTGTCATCAGGTGCCATGGAGTTGGTTCTGATTCACAGTGACACCTGGATACACATGACAATCGCCAGTTGTTAACATTTTACTCCAGTGCGCTCGCTCGCTCTCTCTCTCTCTCTCTTCTCTCCCTCCCTCCTTCCACATCTAGACACACACTGCTCCTGCTCCACACTTACAGAAAAGAGGTTGCTTCAGCCCTAAGTCATTTCCAAGAGCAAGGTGCTCTCCTCCGAAACCCCAGCCTGCTGCTCACCCTTGCGGGATCGAACCCAGACACTCGGCGACTCTCTGATGCGCAGCCTGACCTTGAAGGTCACCACTTGTCCCAGTTACACCATTTCCAGCCACAGCCTTTGTTGTTGTTCAATCCGAGCTCTGATCCAGGGCTACAGGTCGCATTCTGTTGTCCTGGCTCCTTAGATGGACCCAAGGGGGGTGTCTCAGGACTTAACTGACCCTTCATGTCCTGTCCTAGCACTGGCTTTGTTAAGCACCCCGCTGGCTGCGTCTGAAGGATGCTCCCAGTGGGGGCTTGTCCGGTGATCATCTTGTGATGATTCTCCTATTCAAGGAGTGTCTTAGTGGGGAGGGGCCTCTACTTAACGTTTGATCCATTGGCCAATGGATCAATGTGATGGCCACCAGATTTTCCCATCGCCGGAGTCCCAGCGTCCCCCACCCCTTCCCCTGTAACCGTGCCGTGTCTCGCTTGCCCAGGAAGCTGTTGGCAGGCAGGTTGCTTCCGCCTTTTAGCTACCGTGCCAAGAGCTGTAGTGGACATTGGTGTCCACATCTCTGCCACGGTCCCTGCTTTTGGTTCTTGGGGTACACACCTAGGAGTCCTCCGATGGCCGGTCCACGTGGCAACCCTCTCTCTTTCTCGTTGAGGAGCCATCTAATTGCTTCCCCTAACCCGGCCGCTGTACCATTTGACAGTCTCACCATCCGTGCATGCAGGTTCTAGTGTCTTCACACCCGCACCTGTGCTTGCTGTTGTTTCCGTGGTTGGCCATTCAGTGGGGGGGAGGGTGCGGGGGACAGGCAGGAAGTGAGGTAGCAGCTCACTGTAGTTCTGGTTGGTGTTTCCCCGTGGACTGATGATGTTGAATGTCTTGTCACGAGCTTGTGGACCAGTTGTACCCCTTCTCCAGTGAAAGGTCCCTGCCTAGTGTGTAATTGGATGACTGATCTCCTCGCTCCTGATCCCCACTGTAGTCGATGAGGGGCCAGAGGAATGGTCCCTTGAGGCTGTCAGTGCCCTCCCTGGCATGGCCCAGCATCCGTGAATTAGGGCTAGCCACAGCTGGCGGCGGTGGTCGTGGCAATGGGGCACAATTCCATCCCTTCTTGTCACTCTGTGGTTGACCAGAGCCGTCTCCTTCTTGTCCCCACTATAATGACGGGCGTCAGTAGGAACATGTCAAATTTTTTTTATTTGTTTATTCGGTGTGTTTTAACCCTCCCCTACCATCCTCCCCCCCAACCCCCACCTCCACCACCACCACCCCCAGTCAGTCCCATCAAGCTAAACCCCACGTCCCTCCGACCTGCCCCAGCAGATTCTGAGCACTTCCGCTCACCTTAAATGAATGTGTGCTGACACCATATTAAGTACGAGGTGGGCCCGCTTTCCCGTCCCAGGGCCCTCTGGCCACTGCTGGCGGCTCAGAACTCCCTCGTCGCCAAGCACTTGAAGTAGGGCGGTTCTATCCAGTTTCCAGGCAGTAACATAACAAGTTTACTCGGCACGTGGAGAGCAAATCCAATTGGAAATGCTGCCCTAGCTCTAACTCTGTTTCCCGCGTCCCTGTCCCACTCTCAAAGGAAAAAGCTGAGTTCCTGTCGTCCAGCCTTCCGGGGTCTTGATTCTCAGGGGGGTCTGCAGCAGAATGGGCCTGGTATTGGACAACTGTGAGTGCTTGTGTGTGTGCATGCGTGAGGCGTTTCCACGAGTACAGGGCACGCTGCAGAGTGGGTGGCTGCAGAGCCCGCTGTGGATGGCAGAGTGCAAGGACTAGACGTCCGTCAAAGTGGGGGCCCTCGGCTCAGTTGCTCTCCCCCCACTCACTGCTTCTGTTACTGAGTGAAAGAGG